GTTGTTTTGTGATGCGGGGGGGGGGGTGGTGGGGGGGGGGGGGGGGGGGCATTTCTGTCCCCTAGGGGGGGCCATGACAGATAATAATTGAGAACCACTGCTTTAAAGAAACAGGAGAGTGGTGAAGACGTTCAAAATCAGTAAACTACTTAATCAACAAACAACTGCCTTAAATCTAACCTACAGGAGGCAAGAAAGATGCTCCCGTGTACTGCAGTATACTGTGCAAGAAATATTCACACTATTTACCAAATATTTTACAGAGACAAAACTATTTCTGTACAAGTTAGAGAAGTACAAAGTCGATACTCTCCATATTGAAATAAATAAAAAAAAAATTAAAAAAAAGAAAGAGTGATGACAGGAATATACACATGAACAACAGACAATGCCAACCAGGGCTTCACATTTAAATAAATAGCATCCAAACACGTTTGTTAAGAAATGTTACATTCAGAAATGAGGTCTACAAGTCAGACGTAGAAAGGACGTCAGCTAATATGTACAACTATGATGAGCTCTCATTGGTTGAATCTTACTGTTGTGGTCCAATGATAAATCAAACCAAACTGATCTGGGCCACATTATGGATGTCAGCCAGTTTGTGGGCATCATGTTACGTGGATTTATGACAAGCACGAGGCCATAATTAAAATCTAGGGTTAATCCAGACTACATTAGGGTCACACAAAGGTCGTACAGGTAAAATATTATTTAAATACGACTTTAAAAAAAAGTGAAAAAAATATCACTATTGCACTAAACTTTGAGCATGGCCACTTAAAGACTATTTTAAAAAATGACATGTTGTTATTGTCTTTCCTGTTGTCATTTCTTAATAAATTACAAACAGATGTTTTACACATAAATAAGGACAAAATGATGGAACAAAATAAAGACACAAAAAGATCTTAAAAAGAGCTTAAAGGAGTTCAAACCTAAAGTGAAAGAACGTCACTATTGCACTAACTTTTAAACATCACTACATAAGCATAAGTTAAGAAGACATTTTTAGTGTAGCCAGCCTCTAATTGGAATACATATTTGTTAAAAAATAATAATTACATTTTAGCAGAACTGAATCAGAGTTGTATTCAAATCTGAGTTTTGGAACAGTTTTGTGAACACTGCAGTGATTTTATTGATGGAATGTGGGATAAACAATAACATCCCATAATTTAAACGTTTTCTCTCTATCAACTCTCCACCTAGTGATGATTAGGTGGAGAGTTGATAAACATTTAACCCTAGAATTTGACTGAATTAAAATGTTACTCTTGTTTTTTTTTAGCCATTTCAAAATACATCCCATATAAAACATATTAAAAAAATATTTAAAAAACAAAATATTTTAAAGTAGGAATCCCAGAATAAATCAACTTTTAAACCTACACAAATCCAAAGGAGAGAAAAACTCTTTTAGTGACTTAAGATATAAATGCTTCTCTCTTTTTTTAAATTACTGCAGTAGAAAGTAATCATAGTCAATTCAAAATACTGGGAAAATAATCAATTGACACATTACTGAGTAATTTGAATTTGAAGCTTCGACAAAAGCTAACAACTAAGTATACATATATAAAATGAAATTCCAACTGGCCTGAATTTAAATTTTTACAATTGAATAATTAGTAATAAAACAATAAATAAAATGGATGAGAAAAAATATATTTAAAGAAAAATGTTATACAGAAAAGTCATAATTTTACAGGATTAAAGTCGAAACATTTATGCTAACTGACTTTTTGAAAATAACCAATTTTTTCCTTTTAAAATTAGAATGTTACAATCGGAACGCTACAACTTAAATCTTTATTATTCTCAAAGTGGCCCACTGTCGTAGGATACAGATATTTAACTTAAAATTAAAATTCATTTTATTTTATCTTTTCTATTTCTTCTGCCTAATGTGAGTCAATAGTGCTGATGATTTCTCATCAAAATATTCTCGATTGTTGTATCCAAACCTGAGCTTATTTACTTTTACGGTTTTGAATTAATGTCATAAATAATTCTTAATCACTTCGTAGCTTTGCCGTTCAACTGCGAGCACTCGATCCTTTCCTGAAATGTTGCGGACCACCAGCCTCTAAGGTGAAGACGCTCTGATCTACTCTAGTGTTCCTAGGACTGAGACACCACGCTGAACAAGAACAAGGCGGTCGAGGATCGTCCTCAGAGGGAGACAGAATAAAGTAGGCAACAAAGAAAAACCCTATCTGATCCACCGTTGCTTCTACACAACTGTATATATAAACACTCAGAGCCTTAGACAGTAGTGTCTAACACATGGCCAAAAAGACTGGAAACAAGTGCTGCTGTCTGAACTCAGCAGAACTGTTCACAGCGTCCTCAGATGAAAAGTGCCATCACTCGACTGTTATGTGTTTCCTGTGAGGAACTCTATGGAAGAACGTCCTTATTAAAACACTGCTGCCTTATGTTTGGAAACACGGTCGCCGTGGAGCCGTATTTTGTTCCTGAACTTTCTAAGGACTAAACCCAGTGGGTCTGGAAAGATGCTGTTTTTCCAGTCCTTCTTCTGAGTCACTTTTCATTACGTGTGGATGGTGCTGGAGTATAAGCAGTACTTTTACAGTGACTCAAATTCCTGGTTCAACTCAAATAAATCCCTGTCGTTATTTGGATAAAGGTTTTGAAAACAAACGAACAAAAGTTCATCTTCTGCCCTCAAAAGTACCCAGGCTGGAAAAGATTTTTTTCACTGAGTGATGTTATACAGTGAAACTTTAACCCAGGCGTGGGCAAACTTTTTGACTGGCGGGCTACAATTGTCCTAAAATTAAACAAGGGAGCCGGGTCAGGAGCAGATAGATGAAGCGTTGGTGTGAACTAAGATAAATGACATATAAAAGTCATGCATAAAGGCTAAAATGTTAAATTGCTTTTCTACGCCATCTATTGGGGAAACGTGGGTATTGCAGGGAAAAGGCAGAAGTATAACACAAATTATATAATTTGACGGGCTGGATGAAAAAGCTGAACGGGCCGCTTCCTGGCCCCGTGCCTTAGTTTGTCTATACCTTTCTTGACTTTTTTGTCAAAACAGAGATTTGAGTCAAGTTGTGTGGCTGAAAAACCCTGTACAATACAGAATTTGAAAGAATAATAAAAATCCAATTAAAGCTTTAGGCGCATAGTTATTCATTAAAGATATTGCAAATATATATATATCTGTACATATACATGCATCCACGTAAATATAAATTCATAGGTATGCATATATAATTTTCAGATAAATGACAATATTAATAACATATATTAACTAACATGATTTCATTTGAAGGCAGCAGTGGTTTAACAAGTTCTGTGTATTTCAGATGGAACTGACACTTTTCTCTGAGGACACAAACCTGCCTTTTCAGTCTGAAAACACACTTATACCTGTGTACTTCTAATTCCCTCCACTCTCTCTTGAGGATTGTTTAAACTACAATAAATAAAAATTTAGTCCTAAAGATTTAGTCCTTAAATTTAAGTCCTTAAACACGGCAAAACAACCAGCAGGGAATTATTACTTACTTATTGCTATAACTCTAAGGGTTTTTTGCCTGACTCTGAGCTACTGCGACAACTGACTACTGGGACAACATCATGATGTCACTCAGACAAAAACCAGTGAGTTCTTCTCACTCCGACACTCCTGTTCTTTAACCAATCAAAGCAAAGCAGTTTGCTCTTCAACACCGTGCTCCAATAACACATGGCAGCACAGGACTCCCTCAGGAAGTCGAGGAGCGGAAACACTCACCGCTCTGGCTAAAGGGAAGGTCATTAAGGTTAGAAGTTGATGTCACATCACCTCTCTCACTTTCTGGAATTTATTTGTGGGTCTTCCAGTTTCTGAGGACGTGGAGCTTCCAGGCCAGAGGGGTCAGGGACAAGGTGGGCAGATGGACAGGTTCCAAGTGCCCCCTAAAGGAGGAGGAGGAGGTGGCATAATGTAGAAACCTTCCTGCCCCCAGCCTGCCTTCTGCCACCCACGTTTTCAGGTCCGCAGCTACAGCCAGAAACCCTGTGGAGAACAGATGACCGTTCTTCGGTTCAACATTTTAATACTTCGTGATCGGTTGACCTAAAGTGAGTGGAGGAATCGGAAGGATTTGAAAAAAGGCACAACGTCACAACAATGTCACACAGCAAAGTAAAACCAACTGTTAAAGTGAAGGATGTTGCTGCTTATATTATATATATTTTTTACTAATACTAATGCAGAAAATGTCATAGGGAATGGACTTGGTATTTAATAACAATGATATTTAACGACTGATTTTACACAGAGGAAGAAAATGATGTAATAAATGTAAAGATATATTAAAAAGAGTACCAAGAGAGTGCAGAAATATTTGATTTTGTGAAGTACTTTTTGTCTCGGAGCAGTCCGGACAAGTGTCCTGTACTCACAATAATTGGCAGCTTAAACCATCCATTTAGCTCTTATATGGAAAGTATATTATTCAGACAACTGTTGTTGTTATGTCAAAGGACTACGCACATCTTTGGTTTGTGCTACGGTTCAATAATTTTCCTTAATTTATTTCTGCATTCCACATCAACTAACCAGACCAATTTGAATTTTTTTTGCCCTTTTCTTCCTATAAATCAGGTATGATTTCCAAAAGTTACAAGTTGACCCTGATTTCTTAGGTGAGGCTTAAGTCTGAGCTCTTAAAAACTGTCAGACTTTACCTCTTTTTTTATTTTATTTTATTCTTTGTATGTGATTGGTTTGAGTAATTTCTAAATTTAATTTCCAGTTGAAACAGTCTTTAAAGGAAATAAGCCGGGTTACTACAGCAGTTTTAGTGTTAAGGAAAGTCTAAAATTTTCAAAACAATTTTTTTTTTTAATCAATCAGGAGCATCAACTACTTTATTATGCCTAGAATCACCAACAGGGGTCACACATTTTCTGGATTCCCACTATTTCATACAGTCACATGAAACTATCTAGGGTTCTGAAGTGTTAGACGTTAGAGACAACATAAGCAGGTACCTCTGTTGCCTTTCCATGCAAAGTCAGCAGGCAGATTTTGAACCTCACTCCTGGAGCTCGGTCAGAGCCACACAGCATGCAGCTCTATCATCCTTACTCTGGGCTGGCGAGTCCACTCCGCTGCCAGTCGACATGCTGCGGTTACGACTGGTCAGCTTCTTCAACTCGCTGGCGAAAGACATTACCTTCTTTTTGTCCTCCCGAGGCACCTGCCAGGTCAGACACACACAACGGAGAAACACATGGAGGCCGTTATTGATGTTTCTGCTCCACTAAAATGATCAAACAAGAATTCAGTTGTTTTGAGGCTAGGGCTCTTTTCTCTTTAGAATTTGGTGTGAAAGTGACATAGAAATATGACTATTAGTATATTTAGCCTTTTGAACCACAACTAATAAAAACACAGAATGTCGTTTATGCGCGTATTCCTTAATTAAATTAAAGTCCCCTTTAAAGTAAAGGCAAATATCAGACAGGGCTCTTTACTGTATGAACCACAAAGTGTATTTTCTAACCTAAACCAGGGGTCAAAAACAAGAGGTAACCACTCATATTTCTGTACTTGTTAGTTTTATCACTGGTTGCTACTAACAGTGTTTACACCCACCTGCTCTTTAAGTTTTAGGATAAACCTCCCAGCACCACGCCAGCGACTCTGTGCTTGGTAGACGCACTCAGAATCCAGCAGCAGTCGCTGCAAAGGCTTGGCTGTGCAGGACTTTTTAGAACCAACGTCTTTGGTCACCTCCTCCACCAGAACGTAGTCACACGGGTGGGGGTTTGACACGATACTGTAGGAATACTTAGCCTTGGACAGAGCCTGACCGGCAGAAAGAACACAAGGATTACTTCCAACATGAGGAACTAGAGGGCAGCAGTCAACAATTATTCATTACATTTTTTTTTTCCTCTATGTCCTGACCTGCTGAATGATGTCCTGGGCAGTGCTGTAGCGCGGGGCCTTAATGACAGTGTGAGGCTGTTCGGGGGAAACTTCATGAACTTGGACGAAGAACATGTCGCCCTCTGCTCCAACACCTCCTCCTCCTCCTCCTCCCAGTGCTCCTCCCTCTCTGTTTCCAACTGCCATCTCCTCCTCTCCCTCCATCACTGTGATCTTTTCATTTGAGTTCTTACAGAATAAATCACAGACCATTAGACAGCAACAAAAATACCTTTTTATGAAGAGGTATTCCAGCTTTTGTCTTAAAGACCTCTTCAAATTTAAAATTCTTCAGATTTAAATTAAATGTATTTTCTGGGTTAACTATGAAGTAAAAAATAGTATTTAAAATATCTCGATATATATATATATATATTTAATTTGTAATTGTTTTTTAATAAATTATATAATCCAGCAAATCAATCGAACCGTGATTAGTAAATTATTTGCACTCTGAGACCACTAGAGGGAGCCAAAGACTAAAATATAGACCTCAGAGTACAGTATTCTGTAACTGTAAAAATGACAGATTAAGAAGCACAGACATTTCGGTGAGGCTTATTTTAAATAGTTTTAACTGTCTTTACCTAAACCGTTTAACACTTTTGATTTAAATGAATCTTTGCTACATGTTTTGTAAACAAACCTCATCCTTTGTTTTGAGGCAAATCCTCCCAACGTATCCTTCATCACTGTTCCAGCCCGAGACCACTCTGAGCACCTCCTCCTCAGGTGCGAGGGGGCGCTCCTGAGCGGTGCGCTTCACCTCACTGCGCTCCTTCAGCAGAGGAACTCTGTCCTCGCACAGGTAGAAATTTGATGAATTCTCAGTTGTTGAAATGATCTGTAAGTGAAAACAAAACAAATAAATCTCGTTGAGAGCTTCATCTACTGCCTCCGGCTATGGCTATCACAAATCTGCACTTGAAATTGACCGACCGTGTCCAGCAGCTGCTTGGCCGTGGTCTGCTCTGTGACAGTGAACACAGTGAAGGGCTCGGGACCGGGGGCTCCGTGGACTGTCACCCTGTGCTGCTGCAACGCACGTTTCTCCTCTGAACTAAAAAGCTGAGTGAAAACATGGAAAGTTAGCATGACTGATTCAAAAGAAAATGTTAAGATTCTTGTGAAGCTCAGAAGCAGCGGCAGTGACAATGTTGAACATGCTGCTGAAGAAAATCTTTACAAATATTCTCTGGTTTATCTGACACGCAGTTTAGAATCAGAAAGAACTAGAAAGCCTATTGGACTAAAGCAGAAACATCTTAGAAACCAAACTAGTCCTGCTGCCTATTTATGAACCAAAACCTTACTTTAAAATATTCAGCCAGCCTTTTCTGTTTAAATCTATTTGAATTCATCACTTCCCAAAAGTACATTTATGTCTGACTGTAACAGATGCCCTTTGGGAAAACTCTTAGCTCTTGAGTGGGAGTGAGTACTTTAAAAACAAAATGGCCTTAGTTTTGCATATGTTGCTAGACTGCAGTCCACAAACTAAGACAAAGACCAGTAATAAGGCCAGAACAACTCCTACCAAGGATGAGGGAGTAGCGACCCCTGTAGGACCTTCCTCTACTCTCCGGCTAAATATGAATAAGCTGGACACTTCCAGTTGTTCGTTGTGCTGCGTCCTCAACTGGACATGTCGGTAACCTTGAAAACAAGAAACAAGAACAAACATGGATGACACTTTTTTCTTACCATCAAAACATATTTTTGGATTAAAAAAGTGAATATTTTAAACCCATGAACCCATGAAGAATGTTGAGAATAAAAAAGTGAATATTTTAAACCCATGAAGTATGTTGAGAACACCACCGTCTGTAGCATCTACAACTCTCACCTGCTTTGAGGGCTTTCAGAGGAAGGGTCCTCTGAGCAGTCGTCTGGGAACTGTTGTTCTCCACCACAGCGAAGCGCAGAAAACACATGTCTTCGAAGTACACAGAGAACTGGAAGACGTCGCTCCACATGGGGTTGAGGGTGTTGCGGTGGATCGGTTTGGTGCGAAAGTGGCTGCTATCCACAGGCAGACCCAGAACATCCACCTCAATACAGGGGCTGCCGGCGCTGTTACCAGGACAGACATTCTGACCAGAGACCACCTGAATGAAGGTTAAATTCATTATTTGAAAAATCTTTGAAAAAGAAAAAAGACAATACAATTAATTTTTTATGTTACATTTTGTTAGCTTGAGTGTCGCATCTCTCTGAAGCTGTTCAATATGAAACTTAGATTAATCAAATACCTACTAATAATTCCATCCTTTGGAGTCATCATACATACTGTTTGCTTTATTTTGTTTGCCACTCTGTTCCATTAAAACACATGATTTATTGTGATTAATCCACAACTACCCTGTGATCAATGCTACTAAAATAAAATATTGTATTTTAATGCTTAGAATACAATATTTGAAAAAAACAAAGCTGCTAGAATAGGGATAGAAGCTGAGCAGAGTCTTAGAGATAAAGTTCTGTTCAATACATCATGCTAACTCACAGTTAGGGAGTAGACAGCTGGGCTCATCTTCTCCACGTCCCTCTCCACTGGACAGAACTGTTGATAAAGTGGACAGCTACGGTCCCACAGAGCAGCCGGCTTCAGTATGTAGCCGCAACCTCCGTTCGCCTCGAACAACGCCGTGTTTAATTGCATGGGCAGATCTGAGAACAAGAGGGAGACTCCAGTTCAGTTCATCATTATCAGTAGGTAAAGGGTTAAAAGTAAGGATGCAATAAATGTGGTTGAAGGATTTTTTTTTCTGTTCGGTTTTATCCAGAACTTAAAAAAATGACAAACCCATCACTGAAAATGTTGTGCAATCATTGAATGAACAAATTCCCTTATTAATGTACACAATAAAACACAAGAAACTTCAGCCTTGGTGAACCCTGTCCTCACCATCGGTCTGGTAGTTCAGAGCCACCAGCTGAATCCCATGCAGCCAGAAGAGCAACGGGTTTGGGTTGGTGGAGTCGATCCTGGTGGCTGCTGGATAAGTTCTGAGCAGCTGACTCGCTGTGTGTTGGATCAACTTCTGGGAATAGCGTCGGCACAGGCGCTTCGCCGCATTCTCGTTCACAGACGAGATGTGGTAGCACTTGGGCGTGCGAATGATGGCGCTGAGAGAAGTTGGGGGGTTGAGGACCGGAGACGTCTGCTGCTCCTCCCAGCTCAGGCGCTCATTGCCCCCTACAGGGAGGAAAAGGAAAACTTTAGAAGTGATCAAATGGGATTCTGAAGTTTAAGAATTCATTATTTTAGGAAAATCATACAAAAAATGTATCATTACAGATCGTAATATTTTGCCTGAAAACCTGTAATAATACACATTCAATGTAATATCCTTTTAATGGAGCATCTTTCAGTGTACCTTTTGGAGTGCGGGTCTGGGTTGGGACCTCCCCCATACTGGAGCGGGTGGGAGTTGTGCCAAATATTGACTTTCTGGACTTGTTACGGTCTTTTCCCCTTCCACAGCCGGACGGTGAGAGCGAGGAGAGGCCTGTTTCCCACACATAATAAAGAAAAACAAGAAACTGAGACAAAGTCAGGCATCAGTACATGGGTGGTCAGGCTGTCCACATCTACATCTCTATGTCTTGTCTGTGCAGTTAGTTAGTACAATTTACTGGGAGCTTCCAGTTGTACTTTAGTTCAAAACTACATTTCAGAATCTTGCTGTGCAACGCATCACTGTCTTGGCTCCTGAGGTCGATGTAGACAGAGATGGACCATCTCACCTGGTTACCAGGAAAAACTGTGGATGAAGCTAAAAACCTAAAACAACTGCACTAACAAAAAGCAAAAAAGGAACACTTGGTCAAGTGTACTTAGTTATTGGATTTTAAGGAGAATACCGTAATAAAGCCTTTTTTAAGGTTTGTGAGTGAGTGTGTATATTATCTTTCCTCACTGTACAATTAATTTTTTTATTTATTCTTAAATCTTTTTCAACAATAGAAAAACTTATTTATTCTTAAATCTTTTTCAACAATACCCACTGCTTCTTGTGGTAGAAAAACTTTTTTTTTTCTGATGAACATTACAGTAATATTACCCTGAATTCAATGACTGTCAAATGTTCTAACAGCACACATTTAATTGAACATCATGTTAAATTATATCTGGTGATTGACACAATTACAAACCTTTTCAAACAAGTGCTTATTATGTACAAAGCCTCAGTCACAGTTCTTTACAACAGCTTGTTTAGCAAAATGATAAAAAAGAAATTCTAAATAAATGTTAGGAACTGGCTGCTACAACACTGTGTGCTGTGTTTACTGTGGTTGGTATTTTTTAAAATGATGGTTGAACACATTTGGACAAGTTTGTTGCATGCCCATCAACACTAAAGATGACAGAATGCAGTGGACACTCAGCTGCCCATAAAAAACTGGGCCAGATTTCTTTTTTTCTCTCTCTGGGATCTCAGGTCTGGAGAAAGAGTAAACATGTACAATACAGAGGAAACACGAGAGGTTTTATAAGGGCAAATGTCGTGTAAAAAAGAGGAGACAAGGCAAACACGGGATTGTGGAGGGAGGATGATAGAAATAAGAGCAATGGAGAAATGTTCACGACGGAGATTAACCCAATGAAGACATGTCTCTATAAAGAGGAAACGGGAGGTTTTTTATAAGGTTACAGAAGGCAAACTTTGTGAATTCCTCAAGAAAATCCAGTTCTTTTTATTTAGAGTAAAACCCATCCTCATCCTAAAATAGATATAAAAATGATAAACATATGAAAGAGTAAATATAACATGAGCAAATGGCAGGTGCAGCATTAAAAAACTATGAGTTTCTAATACCTAATTAATATAATGTAAATAGTTCTCCAGTGAGAATTGATAAGAGGGGTAAGAAAGGGAAAGAAGAAAAGGTATTTGAAAGGAGACGTAGGGTGAGTGTGAAAGTGATTATTTACCAGGGAATTTGACAGCCTGGCAGTAGATGACGAGGTCGGACAGCTCCTGGGCGATCTGTCGACTCTCCTTCTTGTTCTGAGGAAGGTAAAACTCCTCGCCAAGCTCCATGTCGAACACCTACGAAGAGACACAGGACAAAAACCCCAACCCTTTTTTAACATGACAGATTGGTTTTATGTAAGACACCAGTAGCAGGCTTACATGCTTAACAACACAATAACGAATATCATTAAATAATTTAAGTATTTTAAATATAATGTAAATATAACATTATTATATTATATATTATTTAAAATATATCAGATTAATGTTAATTTTTTAGAAAATCCAAAGTAAACTTTTTTAATTCTTTCAGTGCAGCTCCAAATGAGTGAGTAAATTGTGAGTAATCCAGAAGATCGTCATATTTCTCTCAGATATTAAATATTTCATCTCCCTACCTTTCCTTTGCTCTGCACTGTGCTGTCAGCCTTCTTTATCCTCTTTGGTATTTCATCAAGGGGCTGCTCTTCTTTGTCTCCCGTGCTCTTTCCTTCTGGCTTGTCATCCAGCAGGTTATCTTCGCGGACAAAACACATTATTTACATGTAGCATAAATAAATAAAAAAAAGATAAAATGTGGAATTTTAAACAACACTATCCTGCGTTTTATTGTTAGCATGCCAGTGAAAGAGGGGTTTGTTGGCTGTATTACTGGATTATAGAGGAAGAATATATCAGACAGCGTTAGCATGTTGCTACAAGTAAGCCAGAGCAAGCACCAGTAAAATCACCCCAATCATTCCATCACCAGTTGATAGCACCAATCAACTTATCCTGATGCTTTGAGTCTTTTCTTTAGAACCGTGTTCATTATGTAAGAGGACCAGTTAGCAGGAAAAGTGAGTTGAACCACACTGGGAGTAGAGGGAGCTGCTGCTTTTGAAAAGGAAATGATGGCAATTTGGCAGATTAGATTTGAATTGTTCACATTTTGCAGACTAACTGAAGTTAAGGACTGGGCCGGGGTGTTAGAATGGGAACAGTGCTGGTTCTTAACTGAGACGTAATGTCAGAAGTGTTGACTGGCAGTTAAATAAGACTCTTTCAGACAATGTGAAGCCTCATGAACGCATGCATCTCATTTAAAAGTTGACATATTTTAGGTCAATGAACGCCAATGTTGTTCGACAGGGACAAGAAGAAGGCAGAGAATAGGACATAGCAAAGCTGGGACCGGTACAGGATAGTTTCCCCCAGTCTGTTTTTGCAGTGTGGGGGCAGTGCAGGGCCTGAGAAACCAGATGGCTTTGTTTTGTTTGCCTGATGAGCCTGTGCAGCCACCAGCGAGGTCACGGACAAATACAGTATGGGGGAGGAGGAGAGGTGACGTGTTCATGGGAGAAAGAAAGTGCAGGACCACATTGTCTGAAATATTTGATTTAAATGATTGAGAATAAAGAAAAAAACTTAAATATCTGTGTTTATATCTTAAGGAGAAACACAGATATGTACGAACCACACGTGAGTCAAAGACACAATACAAGCTCACAACACAAGAGCCATTAAAGCACAAGTACTGCCACATGCCCCCCCCCCTACTCCCGCCCCAAACCACCACAATCTATAAAATGTAATAATGCTGACGAACAACTTAATTGTTCCTTAAGGAAGCAGTATTTACATTTAAAACGTTATCACATTGAAAAAACAAACTGAATCAGTATGAAAACACCAAAAGGAATATTGAAAAAAACCAAACAGGTTTAATGATGGTGCTTTAAATTGTGCGTTTACCTTCCAGGCCATAAGAGGCAGTGGAGGCAGAGAGGACGTCGGCTAGGAGGGTTAGGGTTAAAAGAAAGAAAAAAATAGGAAAAGGTGTGCAGATGTTTAAAAGCAATACAAGAGTTAAACTGAACAGAAGCCTTGAAAGGTAAAGGATAAAAACGGAACTGCAATCTAGAACATAAGTGCTTCCTTTTAGTATTGCACTGATTTGTGCCGATACTAAAAAAAACAATAAACTTGTCATTACCATCAGAGAGAGACTCGTAGTCATAGTCATACTCGTCTTCCTCTTCCTCTTCGTCCTCATTGGCATGGCTGCTCGGTGAGGTAGCTCCGGGTGAGCCATTGGTTGCCTGAGCCTGCATGTGAGCCAGCTGGTGAGCCTGGGAAAAAAAGGAGTATTTTTTAAATAATATAATATATATACATTTTGTGAGCTAATATTAACCAGAATATACATGTAACTGAACTAAGTTGTAAATCCATCTATTAACCATTAATGTACAGACCCTTATCAGGAGGATTTACAGTATGTGTATATACACCACAGCACTCTATCACCGCTGTATAAACTGAGTGAAAACGATGATTTCAACTGCGCAGTATGACAAAATCTATTATTTATGTGTCACAGCACCGTTGTGAACAGCATTAAATATACAGCGTACTCCTGCGCTACTTGAAAGCACCATTACAGGTTAATAAATTATGAACACGTCAAAGCTGTGTACATGTGTAAGAAGTACTCTACCTTCTGTTTCAGGAGGTCCACTGGCGCCTGGTGGGCTTTTAGCTTCTTGTTCTTCAGGAGGATCCGGCCACGGAGCTGCACGGGCGACGGCAGGTGAGGGTCATCGCTGAAGTCACTTTCGAAGAGAAAGCGCGTCACGAGGCGTTCTCCAAACACAGTCTGTGATGAAAAAAAAAATGGAAGCATGGTAACACCTACTACCAAAGTCAAAAGGGAACATGGTCTTTGTCTGCTGCAGGTAAATGGGCTTGAAATAGTGACAGGCGATATCAGAAGTTTTGATTTGATACATTTGCATAGTTATGGCCTTTGTTCACTGTTGATGGCCTTGTCTGCTGCAGGTAAATGAGCTTGAAATAGTGACGGGCGATATCAGAAGTTTTGATTTAATACGATTCCAATTACTTTTTCATATAATATAATTCATAACAAATGACATTACTTGTATGTAACCTAGCTAGTTAATATGCTAGCATTAAGAGACAAAGCTGTCTAGTGGAGTCACTGCTTTCTTCTGGTCAGTGGTCATGTGACATGAATGGAGCAGTTCAACTTTACGCTACCTGGGTGTGTTGCACAGCACAAACGTCAACACATCAGCATGGACTCAAAGCAAAAGTATTTACATCAACCACAAAAAAATAAAAAATAAAAAAAAATCTGGTTCACTGTTTGACACGAGCAGACCCAAGACATACAAGCGTCTCCACATGAAAGACAGTTCCTTATCGAGCCACTCAGAAATCTGTCTCTAGGGAGGATAAGATGCTGGGAAGTTTTCCGAGATGAAAGCATGACAGCGTTCAGTGATGTATGTGCTGTACTCAGATTTGTGTGTTATGAGTATATAGTACAGCAGCTTAAAAGAAAAGTAAAGTAGATAAAAACAGTATGATGAAAACTGGACGTCTGCCAGTATGAATGCCCAGAGCAGCAGCACAACAGCTGTGTGTGTGTATGCTGTACATCCCTTTAATAGAAGGACAATTTTAGCAGCGCACAAAACTGACTACGCTGCAAAGAAACCTAAAAACAGCAAAAGGAGTCTAACAGGAGGGAAGAGTGGGATGAACAAACAGAAACATACCTTAAAAATCTCTGCCATTTTTCGCTGCTGTGGCAGAGAGCAGTGGTTCTCAATGGACAGGATGACAGGCATGTCAGAGTTGACAAACGCTGCACGATTAACGGCTTCAACCACGTCCTGGAGGATTGTTGAAGATATCTTAGTTTAGTAACGGCACTATAGTCGCAAAGTGAGGATTTTCAGGTCAGAAGTATATTAAACTCCAACTCCATCCCAGTTCCGATATGACATGTACTATCACCTTGAAAGGTATCTTTGTGGTGAGTGTGTGTCCATGGTAAATAACTGGCGAGCCATCATCTCCATCCCAACAGTCCAACTCGACACTCCTGCAGCCTTGCAGCAACACCTAAAGTTGGCGAAGGCAACGTAGTGTCACCACAAAAATACCAACAGTCTTCTTCATATCTTTTACGTCAGCGTAATCGCACAACCCACCTGACTGTAGAGCTCGACAGACGACTCTCCTTTAAGTTGGTGTCCCGTTAGATATGTGTTGTGTGATGACTCAATGAAGTAGTAGGACAGAGGGTAGTTCAACTCCTCCTCATTGGCCAGTGATTCCTCATTGCGGGAAGCGAAGTTCTCCTTGTCCATCATGTATCTAGTAAACACAGAGAGGGGTCTCCGGGTAATTAAATGTTATTCCAGATATGCACATGGATTTTCTCCACATACGTGGATCATATGGGATCCTCCATTAGTCCAAAGTATGGACAAACTAAACTGACATTGGGTGTAACCATGAGTATGAATGATTGTGTGATGAGTGTGAAATATGTGATGGTGGTTTGTTGATTCAGAAAATGGATGGACGTCATAGTCACTGTACCTTGCAAATCCTTCAAATGACATCCAACCCATCTGCCTCATGCTGGATGAGGGCTCAAATTTCTACAGGAGAAACAAAATAATATAAAGCATTTATGCAAACTATTGATCGGCAGTCAGTTAATGCAGTCACCAAGTTTCATATTGCCTTTCCTAGTCCCATCACGTGTTCTAAAACATCCATATAACCAGATCATAGCCATTCTCTACCTGTATAATGCTGAGAATGTCATCGTAGCTCAGATGCTCTCTTTGACAGTTGACCAAAAAGTCATTTAGTTGGGGAATGGCCAATCCCAAGACACCAAGTGATACGTTTTCTACTCCGGTGCCGTTGGTCACGATGCTAGCTACGGCGATGGCGTCCGAGATCTGCTTTTGGTTGTCGGACATCTGCTGCCTGGTGCGGATGAACAGGCCAAGATCAGAACCGTTGCGGGTTAGAAGATCTGAAAAAGACGACAAAAAGGGTAAGTGAGAACCGAACAAGAAAAAGTGATTGTTTATCTTTTTGTAGTTAGCAGGGACGGCATACTACACAGCAAAAAATTAGATAATAGCACCAAGTCTTAATTTTACAAAAACAATGGCTGACAACAGTGACAGAAGGGAAATCTGATATTATCAATTTCCCAGAGACTCGCAAGTCTTAATTTTACAAAAACAATGGCAGTGACAAGAAGGGAAATCTGATATTATCCAGTTCCCAAAGACTCATGTTGCAACATTTGCATATGATTGTGATAAAAAAAAACCAAACAACACAAACATTTTAAACTGCAAGTTTAAACTGTTTACTAGTCTAATACTGATAAGAATATTTCTAGAGAGAAAACATAGATTTTTTTTCCAAGTGAAATTGAGAACTGTTGTCACTTCTGTGATGAGCAGGAAGATATAATGTAAATGAATTAGTCATGCTAAATATATAATAGTATATTTGTAAATGGGTTAGGTCAAGTTCTTGCTGACAATTTGTCAATTCCTCCTACAACCAGGCTTTCAAATACCTGAGCTTTGTCGTAATGTCTTTGTAACACAAGTTTTTTTATTCTTTTATTACCAAGTTCTGGCTGTAGCCCTGTATCCTTGTCATCTATTCGCAGGTTGGTGTAGAGTGGCGGCGACTCTGCACTTGATCGACTGTAGGGTACAGCAAAGGTGTCAAACAGCTCCTTGAGGTCCTTCCTGCTGCGGATACTGTGAAGAAAGTGTTTTTTTTTTTTTAAAGGTTTAAGCTACTGTGTGCTCACCTAAGATCCAACAACACAGCAGCAGGTAGTATTTTTTTGTTTGTTTCCACTCAGCAGGTTGTATTTCCAGCTGAGCTGAGTTTGGATTTCAAAAGCAAACTGCCAGGCAAAACAATCAGTATTATCTAAAAATGTAGGACGAGGCCGAGATGGAAATAAACCATGTCTTTTGGCAAAAATATTTTCCAATATTAAGGAAGCTACAGTAGGAATGTTTGGAAATTCCTCAATGTGATAACATTGCTGATTGTAGTTTATTTAAATAATAAAAAAAAAAGAATGTACAAAAATGTGATAGCAACAGATTTATAAAGCATCCAATTTTTCAGATTCTCCCACAATGTTAAATTGAAGTAAGAGAAAATCTATAAATATATACAGTATACACACATATTTATAAATAAACCTATATGACATATGTGGATTTTAGCTTTTATATAGAAATTCTGTAGTATTTTTTTTTATTTACCTGAATGACTTGAACAGCTCAACAAACTGAATAAAACTCATGGTGGTGTCCGACATCATCAGGTTCTGGAAGCCTCTGAAGCAGCCTTTCCCCCGACCATGCCATGACCTGCTGCTCCATGCCCTATGACCCAGAGAAAAAAAAGAAATATGTGTAAATACGAAGCTGAGCTTCCAGTGAATTAACAGAAATTTTTCAAAGTAAATACAACATACACGGGCTGTCCTTTGGCAGATGCCGAGAGGATCGGAGAGGATTGTGGGCGAGACGGATTGGAACCTGCCATACTGGAAGAAGAAGAAGAGGACGAAGAGGAGGCCAGCAATCCATGGCTCTTAGTGGATGAGAGGGAAAATGGTCCAGGGAAGCTGTCATCTATAAGCGTGAAACATTAGTATTTCAAATTAACTGCAAGGCACAGATTATTGTGGCATTAAATTATTGCAGTATACATATATATAAATATATATGTATATATATACACATATACATACATATACATATATATGTATATACATATACATTTACATATATATGTATATACATATACATATATATATATACAAAATATATATTTATATGTAGCCTGCTCGTTTGAATAGTAGCTTCTAAGCCAAAAATGTGTGGGCATCCCTGAACTTAGGTCTAACTTACAACCTGGGTTTTCCATTTAAACCGGTCTATCAGTTGTGAAAGTAAAAAATTTTACCTGGATCTTCCTGGTCTATGCTGTCAGACTCTGGTCCATTACGGTTAAGTCCCTCCTTACAGCTTCGTGTCTTCCTGGAAAACATCTCATCATCGGTGGCATCTCCACTGTCTCCCTGTGTTTAGGACATAATGCACATTTTGCACTTAGAACGAGAACAAATTCATGCTCTGGCTTTCTAACAAGATCAATAGGTGTCTACAAAGACTTATGATTTAGCAACTTCGGAAGATTGTGGCCAAAAAATGCATTTAGGGCTTGGTCTGATCTATAACACTTGGCAACAAAAGTTAACAGAACTGAAACCAAGGGCTAAAGCCAGTCACCTGAAACTAACCCTCCTGACTGAATTACCAATACAGTGTGCACTGTAAAGAGAAGATAGACATCCCTGGCTGTTCTAGCTGCAGGTCTGTGAGTTTTGAGTGTCCAAAAAATAATGAAAGATTATTTGGAAAATTAATTTAGAAATGTCTATAATCCATAATATAATATAATCCATTACTTAGAAAATAATAATGTTGCCTTCTGAAATGGCAAAAATGCATTTTATTTTTTATTATTTTTATTGCAGACATTGAACATGTGTTAACAGAGCTCCTGTCTTTGAATGTGATGGTAGATGTTTTAATACTGACCCTGACAAGGGCCTTCTTCTTCTTCTTGGCCTTTTCGTTGATGCTGTTTTTCTGGGAGCCAGCCTTCTCCATCCCACTCGTGCTCATGCTCCATCTTCGCCCACCGAACAGTTCGATGGCCTGGGCAAGTGTCGGACCTTCATATCTGCCCTCTTCCTACGAGCAACAAACACACAAACAAAAACAAAGGGATTTTATTTCAACTTGTGAGAGACGGGATACATTCCTAGTACTAATGTTTTCATAAAATCCAAACATTCAAGAAGTGGTATCTACCTGATACAAACTGACATACTGCCTCCTCAGCCACTGCAGCCTCTGGTCGGGGAATTTCTTCAGTTTTCTGGTTGAGTTCACTAACTCAGACAATCCCTTGTGAAGCATTTGTGCTGTGTGACTGGGAGCCACAAAGTGTAGTAGCCTGTAGTCCGCAGTTAGAATAGAACAGTAAAAGTCAAATCAAACAACTCTCCGAACACTGGATTAAACATATAAAATGATGAACGTATGTAAACAGTGACCTGTTGTCAGTGGTGCTGAGACCATAAAGGAGGCTCAGTCCATTCTCCTCCACTGTCATCTGGCTCAGTTTGTTCTGCAAACACACAGCGTGGACATCCACTCCCTGGTGACCCAGGAACACTGCCTGCATATTTAAATAAACACAGAACTGTTGAGTGCATACAGTCTAAGAGAAACTGAATAATGGTTTTTTTTTTGTTTTGTTTTTTTTAAGACATAACCAACTCCACTACAAGACCATGGATTTGAAGCCTTAAACTTGAACAGTGGCTCCCAAAGTGGGGGGTCGAGACCTCCTTGGGGGACATGGAGTTACTAAGGCCAGGACCCAGCAGGTTAAATTAGTTTAGTTCCTTATATTTATTCATAGGCTAAAAGTGTACTAAGTTGTAATTGTATTTAGTTTTTATAGTGAAAATATTTGTTGGTAGGAATTACATTACTTTTAATAAAGATGCACAGAACAAATGTCACGGCGCTAGTAGTAAATAAGTAAAGGGTTAAGCCTCTGTTTTAACTACCAACACAAACCTTCTCAAAACAATGTTATGACAAGTCTAACTTTAGTGGTGACCAGCCAGAAAAGATGGCTGTTCAACAGATACAATAAATACTCAAGGAGTGCAAATATGGAATACTGATTATTATTGATGAACATTACTTAAGTTAATGAGTTTATTCGTGTTTTACCTACTGTAGTGCGAACCAATTCCTATAATAATAAATAACACCAAAACATTCTAACTACTGTAACTGCAGAGGCAAAGTGCCTAAAGAGAAAACAAAGAGTGATAATAAATGAAATAAATATGACAATACTAGTCAAGTACATTAAACAGACCTTCACCACTCCCAGGTCCAGCAGGCCCTCAGCTAGTCCTGCCACTACAGACTGTCCTAATCCCAGTGGATGTTCCGCAGGGGAAGCTCCTCCACTCTGAGGCTTACCTGCAGTAAATCAACACTTTATAACATGTTTGAAATGTAGTGAAGGCACAAATGCACAAATTTACAATCTCTCTGGACGGGACATGTCCTATGTGCCTACACTGTATAAACACATGCACAACAAAATTAACAAAAGGAAATGATTTTTTTTTGTTACACAGATGCCTGTTTTCCTTTTGTTTAAAGAATAATAATGACCCAGGAAATGGTGCACGTCTGCCTGGGACATAAACATATTGATCCAGTTTAAAACATTGTGATGACAGACAGTAAATGGTTCCATAACTCAGTAGTAAAACTAATTACACTAGACTTAAAGTAGGGAATAAAGGGCAGAGGAGAAAAACAAGTCTTTTAAAATGGCACTGAGAGGACTTTGATTGAATAAATATTTTACCCCAGGTCAGGGTCGTGTTGTCAGGTTGCAGCCGGAGTAGACAGCGGGCGCTGAGGTGGCTCTCCTGGTCGTAGTGGATGACTGTGGCCCCTTGTAGCAGAAACTGGTGGACATCTGGTTGTAGCGATAAGACGTACCTTTGGTAAAAAGAAAAAAAGAAATCACCAATATTTATTTGAAAAGAAATTCTGTTGATGCCAGGTGAATTTAACCAAAGTCCCACTGTTGAAGTTAATAACAACAATAATAAGATTTTTTTTTAATCATTGAGAGAAAGTTTGTCATACCAGGGAATGAGCTCAGTGCCATGACA